GCTTCGTTCACACCCCGCCCAACTCCTAGACAGATACATCTCTTAATTTAATTATTATAATTTGGGACTCATGCTTTCGGTAGCATTGGGCCCCGAGACAAAAAATATTCATTTGAGGAGATTTTATGCACACCAACGTTCACGCGTACTACAATGTCCAGAAGATGGAACCCCAGGGGCCCGATGGCAGAGAGCGGGCCATGAAGGAACATGTGTACGTGCCGCGGAAGACGATGCAGCCAGGAACAAAGACGGGAGCACGTGTTGGCTGCGACTCGCATGGGACTGTGGATCTCATGGCCAGTGAAGGACAAGAACTGAAGGATGAGGACGAATCCAGGCGCTCACTTCTGTGTCCAGAGAATAACATGACAGGGAAAGATGGCGTCAAGGGTGGACAAACCCCCACCTCAACCCCACAGAAAAGAAGATGCCAGAGCGGAAACGGAGGGAAGCAGGAAGAGAAGACCCGGAGGGACACGGGGGAGGGACGGGCCTGGGGCTTGTCGGGGGGGCATGGAGGATCTCTACATCTCTACAGAATTAGAAGGCGCAGCTCAGCCATTGGCGCCCACCCTGCTCAATCTCAATCCCCCTCAGAGCTGGCTGGTCTCCAGACTCTGAGGCCCGCAGTGAGGCGGCCCCTGCTGGCAGGGAGAGGCACTGAGGTGGGGTCACCCTGCACTGTCCAGGGTGCAGGGGGGCCCATGACACAGCGCCGAGCCCTGCTCAAGCCAGAAGATCTATGCAGGTGGCCTGCCCGGTACCACCACACCTGAGGGCCAGGTGTGGGCAGCCTGGAGAGCCGGGCCTGAGGGCTCAGGACTGCCCTGAGGGAATGGAGGAGGGAAAGGGAGGACGGAGAGCAGATCAAGGAGGGAAGCGGAGGAGGGAGGGGAGGGGACAGGAGGGGGCACTCCCGGGCCACCTGTGGGCAGCAGAGTCTGGGGCCAGGCCTGAGCCCGCGGGAGACACGGGGCTGCGGGGAGAGGCAGAGCCAAGCGCCTGGGAAGGGGCAGAGTGGAGGCTGCCGGCCGCTGTGGCTGCCACCAAGGCATCCGATGACCAGGGAACATTTTCCCGGCCCCTTCCAATGGCTCATGCAAGCACCCCAGGAGTGAGTGTGTGTGCACCTGTGTGTCTGTGTGTGCGAGTGCATATGTGTGTGCACGCGTCTGTGCAAATGTGCGTATGCACGCGTGTATCTGTGTGTATATGTGTGTATGTGCAGATGTGCGTGTGACTGTTTATGAGTGTGTGACCATGTGTATGCGTGTGCCTATGAGAATCTTTGTGTGCATCTGTGGATGAGTGTGTGTGCACGAGTGCATGTGTCCATACGTGTACTGTGTGTGAGTGTATGTGTGCACGTGTCTGAGCCTTGTGTGCACGTATGTTCACGTGTGATTGTGTCCGCGTGTGTGCCTGTTCCTGTGTGTACCTGTGTGTGCACATCTGCGTGTGCCTGTGTGTGCGCGTGTTCACGTGTGTGCCTGTGTGTGTGCCTGCCTGCCCCTCCCCCAGGGACCCGGCTGCTTCCACCGTTTCGTGGCTGGGGCAGTTGGTGAAGAGCAGCCCACCTGTTCCACCCCGCTGGCCTCGGGGCAGGGGCTCGGGGCCTGGCCCTGTCCTGGAGCTCAGGCCCTGCCCTCCCCAGCCGGCCGTGCCCAGAAGGAGGACGAGGAGGGCCGGGACCAGCAACTGTAGCGCCCGCACAGCTCCAGAGTGGGGTCACCGCCGAGCCAAGTGCAGTCGCAGGGACAAAATGCCCCAAGGAAATCAACGCGGGACTTATTAATATCAGACCCACAGGTGACAACTGTCAGACAATTGGTCAACAAGGGCCCGTGAGCCTCTGTGATCCCGGCTAACCCACTCTGATCTTTATGAAGTGTCCTTCTGGGGGGTCCGGACCCTCCGATACGAGGGGCAGCCCCTTCCTTTATTAGCAGCTAAGCTCTTTATACTGCTCCATATTGCGGCAGGTTCGAAGTCTAAGCTTTATTGTCTCACGTTATTGGAAATCCAGATTCCAGCAGGCTTCTCCCCCAGGTCACGCTTTGTCTGTGAGGACGTTCTCATTCGCCCGTGGACAGAGCCCGTCTGGAGAGACGGAGAGAAAGATTATGACTGTAATATACTTAAATCCAATTTATTTGCCTGGCCAGGAACTCGCACCCTGCACAATTGCTTCCTGCCCACGTGTCGCCTCTGCTCCTCCCTGGCAGAGGACGCGGCCGTGGCCGTGGCCAGGCAGGTCCCACGCCCGCGCCGGGCACTTGGTGGCCCGCGGGGAAGCCCTCGCTGCAGGGCGTGGGTCTAGGAGGGGCCTGGCGGAAGCTTCGTCCACGCGTGTGCCCACCCTGGGCCCCGTCCCTCCCCTGAAGCCTGCCCTGGATGCGGGGGACAGGACTCGGACAGGACTCGGACAGCGAGTGTGGTGAGTGCTCCCTGAGTGCTCCTGTCCAGGCCAGAGCCCGTGGAGCGGAGAGGGCGTGAGCACTGTCAGCGGGCGGCCAGGCTGCCGCCCGGGGCCTGTTTCTCCTCTGAGCGGCCGTGACTTCCCGAAGCTCCCAGAGTGGGAAGCAGTGGGCGACCGTCCTCTGGCTCTCCCGAGAGACGCAGGGGCTGTCTGCAGGCTGGCCAGGCCCCCGGAGGCACCGTCCAGCCCTTCCCTGATCTGTCTCTCCACGATGCTGCAGGGCGGCGCTGACCCGCACAGGACAAGCCTGAGGCTGTGCTTGGCCACCCTCTGCCCACAGCCAGTGCCCTGGTCTCCACTGACCACTCTGCTGCCCGGTCAGCAGCTCAGGGGCTCTCCAGGGTGAGTCCGGGTCCCTTCCTGTCCCCCGCCTCCACTGTTGCACCGAGATGGGGAGGATGTGAGTACTCAGGACTCAGTGCTCCTGGCTCAGGGCCAGGGATCGACAGGCCAGGGACACGCGGCTGCGTGAGGCCCCAGGAGCGCCGCGGTGCCCACCTGCAGGCCGTGTGCTGCCCTCCTGCCTGGGGGCGGCCACGGGGACACTCGCTCCAGCGGCTCCTGCAGGAGAGGGGATGGTGGTTCCCGCCAGACGCCAGGGGCAGCCCCGAGGCGCCACCTTCACGCAGGCCACTTACAAAGTTGCTCCCAAGTCCACCAAAAAGCGACACCTGACAGGTTTGGTTCGTCTTTTCTAACTTAGAACTTTCAGCGTCTTTCGCTGGAGTTAAAGTTTAATCACCGGTGCCTGCCCCGGCCCTCGGCTGAGCGTCACGCGCCTATTCAGTGAGGACAGTCGGCCCCGGTGACATGTGCCCAGGAGGGGCCAGGAGCAAACCGTCCTGGACGTACCGGGGAGGGAAAGTGGGAGAGACAGGACGCTGGGAGGGCGGGCGGCAGGTGCCCGGGACCCTGGGACCATGAGCGGTGCCCGGAGCTGCTTGTCCAGGCCCTTCACGAAAGCAGAGGGGCGGAGGCGAGCGCGGCCGGGCCACAGGCCCCTGGGAGTCGCCCGGCCCTGCCATTCTGGAGGCCCCAGGGTTGCAGCGCCGACCCACAGGGCAGACGACGGTCTCAAGCCCTGTCCTGCCCCCCGCCCTGGGGCTCCACCGTTACTCCTGCAGGAGGGGCTTGGCCTGCGCGACGGCTCCGTGCTCGACTCTCCAGAGCCCCCTCGGCACCTCCCGCACCGCCAGCAGCTCTCGCGGGAGAGAGCCGTCCACAGGGCAGAAAGCTAGACCCTGCAGCTTGGCGTTCGACCAGGGGACTCCCAGCGGGTGGGAGGGTGGACGAGACCCTCAGCAAGGCACCTCAGGGCCAGGGCACCCAGTGCATCCCTCAGGGGACACAGAGCTCCACTCCCCGGCGTGGGAAGAACACACACAGGCTGTTAGCGTCCAGTGTGCTCCGTGTGTGTGTGTGCGTGTGTGGCAGGAAGAACGGTCCAAGAGGACACCCGTGAAAATGTTCGCCTTGGGACGAGCAGAGTGGCCAGGAGCTCGCGGCTCGCTCTGGGCGTGCTCCGGGGCCGCCCCAGAGGTGACATCCTGAGGAATGGCCAATAGGTGACACTGCACTGACGTTTCACTTTTAGTAGCTACAATTAAGCTGTTTCTTTAGTCAAGTTGAAATGATCAGGGGCTGGAGTGATAGCACAGCGGGGAGGGCGTTTGCCTTGCATGCGGCCGACCCGGGTTCGAGTCCCGGCATCCCCTGTGGTCCCCCAAGCATGACCAGGAGTAATTCCTGTGCATCACCGGGTGTGACCCAAAAAGCAAAAAAATAAAATAAATAAATCAATGATCAATTTTCCCCCGGCTATTGATCTTTGTGGTGGCAGCTACGCTGGGTGACGTGTGGCTGCCCACTAGGGCCCAGGATCAAACTCAGGACCCTGCACAGCCTGCACAAACGCGCTTTCTACCACCAAGCCACATCCCCCAGCAAACGTTACACTGGGCCACGTCCCGAAACGCCACGTCCTCGGGGGAAGGTTCTGTCCCTGGAGCCAGACCCTCGGGCGAATGCTGAGCCACCACCTTCCACGGAGCCGCATCCTCAGGGAGTTGCTCGGCCGCTGGAGTCACGTCCCCACATGACGAGGGGCTACAGAACATCCTGGGTGGCCCGAGACCAGACATGACGTACGCAACACGCATGAGCAGAACACGCCCTTGTGTTGGTGGCGCACACCACGTACAGGGAACATCCGCGAACAAGGAACGCATCCACGTGCGGAGAACACGCCAGCGTAAGTGGCCCCCGGCCTGTGTGTGCGGGACACCCATGTGTGCGAACACCAGCGCGCGTGGCCGGCTGCGAGTGGGCCTGTCAGCTGTGGGGCCACGTGGGAAGGCAGAAAGGCACTGGCGAGGCCCAGAGAAGCTCCACGTCCTGTCACCGGCACCCGCTGAGCACGGCCGGCCAGGCAGGCGAGGGGAGGCCCAGAGCCGTGGGGTATAAAAATAGCCTTTTAATTAGAAAAGGGAGCAGGAAGCCGGTCGCAGCCGGGCACGCGGGGATCAAGGCCACATCTGGAAGGTTCCGAGAGGCTGAAGCGCAGCACGGCTCTGAAGGGCTCCGGCTTCTTGATGTGCGGCGCTGCCTGAGGCCACAGCGTGGAGGGTCTTCGGCGTGGCCCCAGGGGCTCCAGGATCCAGGGTCATGACGTCCAGGAGGCTCCAGCCCACAGTGCTCTGCCTGGTCCCAGGCGGCCCCTATTGTGCCAAGGTGTGGCTGAAATGGCCCTGCAACAAGAGGGACGTGCGCGTCATGGATGGGGCCTGACCCAGCACCAAGCATTGACACCCCCTACCCTGAGGGAGATCCTGCCCTGAGAGGGATCCTGCCCTGAGAGGAATCCTAACATGAGAGCTATCCTGCCCTGAGAGGGAGATTGTGCCATGAGAGGAGATCCTGCCTGAGAGGGATCCTGCCCTGAGAGAGATCCTGACGTGAGAGAGATCCTGCCCTGAGAGGGATCCTGCCCTGAGAGGGATCCTGACCTGAGAGGAATCCTAACATGAGAGCTATCCTGCCTTGAGAGGGAGATTGTGCCATGAGAAGAGATCCTGCCCAAGAGGGATCCTTCCCTGAGAGGGTTCCTAACCTGAGAGGGATCCTGCCCTGAGGGAGATCCTGCCCTGAGAGGGATCCTGTCCTGAGTGGGACCCTGCCCAGAGAGGGAACCTGACCTGAGAGGAATCCTGACCTGAGAGGAACCCTGCCCTGAGAGGGATCCTGCCCTGAGAGGGATCCTGCCCTGAAAGGGAGATTGTGCCATGAGAGGAGATCCTGCCCAAGAGGGATCCTGCCCTGAGAGGGATCCTAACATGAGAGCTATCCTGCCCTGAGAGGGAGATTGTGCTGTGAGAGGAGATCCTGCCTGAGAGGGATCCTAACCTGAGAGAGATCCTGACCTCTGGGAAATCCTGCCCTGAGAGGGATCCTGACCTGAGAGAAATCCTGCCGAGAGGGATCCTGCCTTGAGAGGGATCCTGACCTGAGACGGAGATCCTGCCTGTGAGGGATCCTGCCCTGAGAGGAATCCTGACCTGAGAGAGATCCTGCCCTGAGAGGGAGATTGTGCCATGAGAGGAGATCCTGCCCAAGAGGGATCCTGCCCTGACAGGGATCCTGTCCTGAGAGGAATCCTAACATGAGAGCTCTATCCTGCCCTGAGAGGGATCCTGCCTGAGAGGGATCCTGCCCTGAGAGGGATCCTGCCCTGAGAGAGATCCTGCCCTGAGAGGGATCCTGCCCTGAGAGGGATCCTGACCTGAGAGGAATCCTAACATGAGAGCTATCCTGCCCTGAGAGGGAGATTGTGCTGTGAGAGGAGATCCTGCCTGAGAGGGATCCTAACCTGAGAGAGATCCTGACCTCTGGGAAATCCTGCCCTGAGAGGGATCCTGACCTGAGAGAAATCCTGCCGAGAGGGATCCTGCCTTGAGAGGGATCCTGACCTGAGACGGAGATCCTGCCCTGAGAGGGATCCTGCCTGTGAGGGATCCTGCCCTGAGAGGAATCCTGACCTGAGAGAGATCCTGCCCTGAGGGAGATCCTGCCTGAGAGGGATCCTAACATGAGACCTATCCTGCCCTGAGGAGATTGTGCCGCGAGAGGAGATCCTGCCCCAGAGGGAGGTCCAAGAGCACTTACAGGGCTCCTGTGCCAGAAAAACTCAGTCACTCTGTTGCTTCTGGACCCTGGGAGGGGCAGGGAGGTGGTCCTGGTGTCTACACAGCAGACAGGTGCGGGCGGTGCGGTGCACAGGACACCTCAGTCATGCGTCTGCTCAGCAGGTACCTCTCAGCCCTTGGGGCGAAGCTGTGGGTTCTTCCGGTGCACCAGGGCCGTGAGTCTGTCCTGGACAGAAGGGCAGACAAGAGCAGGAACATGGGGCCCGGCTCCGCCGCCCTGCCTGGGTCCCACCTCTGTGCCTGCACCTGGTCTCACTGCGCCACTGCGGCCGGAAGAGGCGCACACGGTGGGCACGGGTCTAGGACGAACTGCAGGTCCCCCTCAGACACAGTGGCACCGCGGAAGCTGGATGTGATGGCGCCAGGCTGCTCCCTGCGGACGGGGCCCACGAGCCCAGCCACATCCCGGCCAGGCCCCTACCCCCGGCCCCCTGACCCCGCTGGCCTTGCCTGCCCCCTCGGTCCATACTCCAGCGAATGTAAGTGCTTAGGCACACATGCATGCAAACACACACACACACACACACACGCATACACACATGCACTCATGCACCCACACATGTGCATACACACAGGCATGCAAACACATGCACACTCAGACACACACATGCACGCACGTGTACACACGTGCACTTAGGTATGACACACACATGCACACATATGCACACATGCACACGCACACAACCTCCCCTCAGGAGTCTGCCGATGCATGGCGCCTTCCAAGGGCGAGAGCCGCACGAGAGCGGGGACACGCGTGTGAGCACACGTGAGCAGGGAACCGAGAGCCGCGCCCGCACACGGGGACGGGAGAGCTGAGGGCCGGGAGGGCTCGGCTGGACGGGTCCGCACCTACAGGGCAGGGAGCGCACGGGCCGGGGGCAGGGACTGTCCTGGCAGGGTCCATGCTCCAGCCTCTGCTCTGAAGTGAGCCAGGCGGGGGAGGACAGCGGGGCCAGGGAGGGAGCGGTGGACAGAGGCTGCCTGGACACGCGAGGCTGCCCTTCCCGGGAACTGGCCACCACGCTGTCCTTACGACGCCCAACTGTCCACTCCCGGGTCCCCCGGCTCTGGCCACTGTGGCGACCCCACCTGCCTGGCTCCGTGGGGCTGGGCTGCAGGGGGCACGTGGCGAGTGCCACACGGGAGCCCCCCAGTGGCTGTCCCCTCTGACCAGCCCCCAGGGCTGCCACAGGCCCCGCAGGCCCACGGGAAGGTCACCTGGGGGTGGGCACGACCGTCCGGGCTTTCTGAGACCAAAACAGCAGCAGGCAGCAGGGCAGCCCGGGGTGACCGGGAGTGGACAGCGCCCACACAGGAGACCAGGCACCGAGGAGGAATCCTGCGGAACCCGCTGCAGGCGAGGACAAGGGCAGAGAGCAGACGGGGAGGGAGCGGCAGGAAGCAGGTGAGGAGCCACCGGGGCTGAGCAGGACTGACGGCGGAGGCCGGCCGCCAGCTCCCAGGGCCGGGCAGGACTGATGGCGGAGGCCGGCCAGCTGCTGCTGAGCAACACCGGGCAGCACAGGGCACGGGCCGAGGGTCCTCACAGGCTCCCTCACCTTCTCCAGGTGTGTGGGGGGGGCACGGGGGAGGGAGGCCAGCACTGCGGCCGCGGGAGCGAACTGGACGGGGTTAATGGAGCCTTCGGGAATCTGGAATTGCCGCCCCATCCGTCCGCTTGGCTCCGGCTAAGCTCCCTCCCTGGGACTCTGCATTTCTGAAAACATATTTGCTTTTCATTTCACACTGAACCCTCGACGTTCCAGAATCCCAAATCAGCGTCTTACGTTAAAGGCTTCGGAGGGAGCAGCCACAGCGGGGGACGCTCAGGCCCTATTTACATAAGGCTGAGAAACAGTCGTGCAAACATCCCATCACCCAGCGAATAATTCACCCGGGCGAAACTGTATTGAGAACAACTACAAATAAAGGGAGACCGATATTCTTAAGTCCACCTCTGAAATTTAGAAGAGAAGAGTATCCAGATGAATGGAAACAACGATCAGTCCATACAACAGAGGTTTCTGTTGGCAGATTCACGCCCTGTGAGTCCCAGCCGCAGTGAGTGTGGGAAACGCCACAGAAAACCTCCTCAGACGTGTGCACGAGAACGTGGGCCTGGGTGAGCGTCAGCCAGACGCAGCCGGGGGAGCTGACAGCTGCTCCCCACGTGACGGGGAGGCGCCGGGCACCGGCTTCTGGGGCACCAGGGCCCATGTGGTCACAACTGACCGCCGGACAGAGCCGAGAGCCGCTCACTGCCACCCGAGGCCCTGCAGGGGGACACATCTGCCTCCCATGAGCCACCACCCAGGGACACAGGCTGCTCGGGGAGGCCTTGCGCGCCGCAGAGCCAGGGCTGTGGGCACGCACGAGCCAGGACACACGCAGAGCCGGGGCACACAGCGGCCTGTGGAGTGTGGGAAAGCGTCTCCGTGACACACCCATGACGGTGTGTACCCACAGGGCCATGCACATCTTGAAGTCTCACCCAGACAGTCTAGAAACACCCACACCACACCCCCCTCCACACACCACACACCTGCACACATACTCCACAGACATTCCCACACACACATCACATACTCATGTATACACCCACACTCTCACACCCCGCACACACTCACAGCAAGAACTCTGCACACACCCTAACACTCATATACATTCCTGCACACACACGCACACACACACACACACACACACACACTTCTACACACACACCAGACACACATGCACACCAGACACACGCTCCTGCACACCGACACACTCCTAACACGCCTTCTTTCTTTGCAGATTAAACATGAGTCCAGTTCGCTTCAACACTACACTCTACAGCTGAAACACGCTAAAGAAAACGCTGAAATAGAAGCGTTCATTCACCTCAAGAATGTAACGCTTCTGTGACATTTAAAGGAAAAAAAAACATGTAATGAAATAATTACCTGTTTGCTGCTGTAACAAAGATCATAAACTACCTAAAACTAATAGAACCGGAGGGACAATTCCTCTTTTGCAAACCACAGCACCCAAAAGGAGAGAGAGAACAAAAGGGAATGCCCTGCCACAGAGGCAGGGTGGGATGGGGGGATGGGGGTGGGAGGGATGCTGGGATCCGTGGTGGTAAGGAAATGGGCACTGGTGGAGGGATGGGTACTTGATCCTTGTATACTTGATCCTTGTATATGGGTACTTTTGTCCTTGAAACCCAAGCACAAAAATTTGTAAGTCTACAACTGTACCTCATGGTCTTTCACTAATAAAAATTTTAAAAAATATATAAATATATATATATAAAGGGAGGGATCTAAGGCTTTCTAGAGAAAATATAAACAATTCAAGTAAACTTAGGTATTTTGTTTGTTTGAGGCCCCACCGGCAATGCCCAGGGTTGACTCCTGGCTCTGCACTCAGGGATCACTGGCGGTGCTCAGGGGACCTCCTGGGGTGCTGGGCTCATTCCCAGGTCAGTGACATGCAAGGCCAGTGCCCTCCCCACTGTCCTGTCGCTCTGGCCCTGATTCAGGTTTGCCTTGGTTGTCAGGAGAGAACTCCCTGTCATAAAAAGGCGACACCTTCACCAGTACAAGCACCACAGGGTTGTGGACAGGGCCGGGCTGTTGGGTGCTCACAGAGCCTGGGGGGTGTCTGATGCCGGGGGAGGAAACGGCCCACGGGGGAGGATGCTGTCCTCTGCATCTGCAGTGACGGGGACAGAGCGAAGCTCCGGCCGGGAAAGCGATTCCTCCTCGGGCAGCGATCCAGGCCCCGCCCCCACCGCCCCGGCGCCTGCTCACAGACTCCCGCGTGTGCCTCCCGTGTCACCTCCCTGTCCCGGAGACGCTGCTGCTCCCCCCGAACGCTTAAAGGCCTAGTCCCCAAGAACAAGCCTGTCCTTCCCGCCACCGCACTTACAGACGCCCCTGCAACGCATCGTGGGCAAGGCTGGGCCGGGCTCCTTCCGCCATCCCGAGGCATCTGTTGGACAAATCACAGCCACGCACATCAGAACAGCGACCCTCGCCACCTCCCACGCAGACACAGAGATGTGCTGCCCGGGGGTCAGGAAGCAGACACTTACCCGGGCGGCGGCATGGCCCGCGGGGTCGGGGGGGCCACGGTGCTCGGGATGTGGGCTGGCCACCTTCACCGGCAGGCCGTCACGGGGCTCGGTCACGTCTGCCCGCCGGCACGCGCGCTTCTGGAACACAGAGAATGTGGCTTTAGACGGCGGCACGAGGCCCCTGCAGCCGCGCCACCCACTCCCGGAAGCCTCAGAGTGGCGGCAGCTCCCGGGACGTTGAGGAAACGCCGACCCTCCCCTCAGCCTTATTTCTCCCCAGTGTCTGTTTTTTTTTTTCTTTTTGGGTCACACCCGGCGATGCTCAGGGGTTCTCCTGGCTCATGCACTCAGGAATCGCTCCTGGCGGTGCTCGGGGGACCATATGGGATGCTGGGGATCGAACCTGTGTCGGCCAAGTTGGCTGCGTGCAAGGCAAACGCCCTGCCCGCTGTGCTATCGCTCCAGCCTCCCAGCGTCTGCTCTTACTTAGTGCCGTCACAGCACTAGCGCCGTCATTCCGAACAAGTCCGGTAGAAACTCAGGTAAGAAACTATTGACATTGAAAAACACACAAAACCTATCAATTCTGTTAGAAAAACGAGTAACAAGCGACAGAAGATTCCGCCTCCTGCCAAACTGCGTGGGTGGCCTTCTGACTGCAGCACGCGCACTCCTGTCTGATGGAAGTGGGGACCCAGAGACCCCACCCCCGGCGGTGTTCCTCAACCTCTGGGAGGCAGCGCCTGTCTCTGCCATCGTCCCGGGACGTCAGAGATAAACGACAAACGCAACCTTTGTCTCTGCTCTGGGGTTATGGGTCACACTCGGAGCTTTATTCCTGGCACCGTGCTCAGTGGCCACTCCTGGCGGGGCTCTCGGAACCCGACGTGCCTCCAGGCTGGACCCTGGGGCCGCCTCAGCACGGCCACTGCTCAGGTCCCTGCACACGCGACGGCCTCACGGTCCCGCCCGGGACTCTGAGGACAATCTACTGGCCCGCTGCAGACACACACAGAGCCGGCAGGGGAAGGAGCCCGGACATGGGGACACGGGGACACAGACACAGGGCAGGGCCAGCCAGGCCACGACACCGCCAGTCCCTGGGCCACTCGGCTCTGTCTGCTTCTAGACCTCTTGGCACTGCTCAGGGTGTACTCCAGGCTCAGTGCTCAGGGGTCCCTGTGGTGGAGGAGCGGGGCAAATCTGGGTGTCCCGTGCTGAGCCACTTCCTGTCGCAGCAGCTCTGTGTCTGGGACGTCTGCGTCAGACTCGCAGACACCCCGGGAGTTCCTTTATTCCGGGATCATCCTTGACGGCTTGGCTGTAGTCGCAAGTCGGCCCACCCGGACCCAGAGCCCTGTTTCCCTTCGGAACTGATTTTACCGAGATGCTGCTGTTGGTGCCGCCGCTGTTGGCCTCACCCCAACTCGGCAGCACCACGGACCCATCTTCTCCACGTGACCCAAGAGCCGCGCCCGCACTCCCCTGCCAGGCTCCCATGAGACAGAGGCTTCGGCTCCCACTGCCGCGGGCCTGGGCTCACGCTCGTATCCGTGGGACCGTGATTCCTGCTCCACCCGCGCCGCTTATAACGGCCCCTCTGGCTTCTTCGCCCCCCAGCGCGGCGTGACCCTCGGAACCCGCCTGTTTCTGGCCGGTTCTCCCTTCCCTGGCGTCACTGCCCGGAGCAGCCGCCGTGACCCTCGGCCAGCCGTCGAGACTTCCCCTCCCGTTTCCGGTCGCGCTTCCCATGGTTCTTACCCCTTTGCTCTTGGCGAAAACATCTGAGGGGTCGCCAGTGGTCCCAAAGGCCGGGCCTGGGCCCCAGCCTGCCCCACACTTTCCCATCCTGAGGGTTAGTTCCCTCCGCCCGACCTTGGGCTGCACCTGCTGGTCTTTGAGAGACCCGGGGGCCCTGTCTGTCTTTCTGTCTGCCTGTCTGCCTGCCTGTCTGTGTGTTGCGGTACCCGGGCCGGGGACTTCCTGCGCGCTGCTTGCCGTGGCCTTTCTGCGCTGTGGCTTCGTTCTCATTTGTCCCCAGAAAATTCTTTGTTTTACTGTCTTTGAACACTGCTGTTCACGGGACAGTCGCCAGGGGCTTTTGCTGTTCCCACACACGAGTGACCCTCCCTCCAGCACTGCCCTGTTTCCCACCCGGCCAACCAACGCCCGCCCTCTGAACAGGCAGCGGGCACACAGCAATCTGCGTCGGGTCACGGGTTACGACCACGAGGTCAAAGGAACGATCAGAAATGCTCCAAAGAAAGCGCGTGAAAACTGTCCGATCTCGCTGTCGGTTGTCGGGTCTCTGAGGACACACGCCCCGCGCCTCTGGTTGGCTGTGTTTCGCCGGCTTCCAGTTACTCTCCCGCCTGACCTGGGGTGCTCTTGCTAGAGTCTCAGTACCGTGGAATGTGGGTGTCGCACAGCATGTGTGTCCGCGCAGTCCGGAAACTTCCGCGTCTGTGTTGCTGCACTGAGTCCGCAGAGATTCTCGGTGAGGCGGTGAATCAGGCTGGGGGCCGCTGGGATGGTGGCGGCGTGGGGAGCGGGTGCGGCTGCCCCTCCGAGGGCGTCCCGGGGCTCCCAGCTGCCTGGCTCGCATCTCCTCAGAGACGGCGAATGTGAGGGGCAGGGCCAGTGGCCGGCCGGCGGTGCTCCGGGGACGGGCTGTTTCCAGAAATTCCTCATTCCCACTCGGATCCCTCGCCGGCCTGAGGGCTGTCCAGCAGAACGCTGCTCAGTCTCCAAATGTCTGCATTTCCTTCCATTTTCTTTTTCTGGTTAAATTCTCCCCTCAGAGCACCGGGATCCAGACACACTTTGACTTACGGACACTTGGTTTGTGTCCCCCCACCCCCGTGCGAGCGACCCCGTGAGCACTGGAGGAGGAGGAGTGACCGGTTTGGGGCTGGGACGCCCAGCACACCTCCCTACAGCCGGCTCTTCCCGCTCCTCCCTGGAGAGCCTCTGTCTCGCGGCGCTGGAAACACGAGTGGGTGTCCAGACTCGGCTCCTGTTGTGCTGCTGGGAGTGTCCTTCTCAGGCCGCTGGGAGACGCCTCCACCGCGAGGGAACCCTGGGAACCCTCCTGCCCCTCCTCACTCCCCGCTGGTGGGGCGGTCAGGGGGCCCAAGCGCTAGAGAACAGTCCGGAGACTTCCCGGATGGAAACAGGGCTGCTGGCCGGCCGGCAGTGTCCCGCCTCGGCGTCTGGAGGAGCAGCACGGGGAGGGGTGAGGCCCTGCCCGTGTGCAGCTGGCCCTGGGGTCATCCCCGGTGCCCCGGGCAGCGGATGAGGGAGCCCCGAGCACCAAGTCTGAGCATCCCTCCACGCACACACGCGGCAGAGACAGGTGAGGAGACGAACACGCCCGGTCTCGGGCAGCACGAGCCCCACACCAAGCCCTGAAACCGCGCAGTGTCGAGTGACAGGCGAGTGGACGGAGAAAGGGGAGTGGACAGAGAAACGGAGACGCCACAGCTCTGAGAAAGGTGGACTCTGGCCTGCGCTGTACCGCGGGAGAGAGCGAGGGGGGCGGGGGGCGAGACACAAAGGAGAAAGACGGACCCAGTGAGCTCACTTGCGCGGCGCAGACGCGATCAAGGGGACGGACTCCTGGCCGCAGGACTGAGGGTCCCGAGAGGAGGCGGGAGGGCAGGGTCGCGGGGGAGGGATCGCAGGGTCGGTGGGGAGCACCGCACCCCTAAGCCTGCCCCGACCTAAAGGGAAGGAGGAAAGCAGCAGTGGACGGGAGAGAGAGAACAGGCCCCGGCAGGGGCTCAGGAGCTGAGGGACGGGGCAGGAGGAACCAAGCCCCGAGACTGCAGGCGCTGAGTGAGCCCATGGGGAAGAGCGAGCCCGTGACTCCGCAGTGGAGGGCGTGACCCGAGCCTGTGGCCCCGCGGTGGAGGGCGTGACCCTGAGCCCGTGACCCATCCCATACTGAGTCCTGAGCTGTCACACCCATCCGTGTAGCAGTCGTGGCATCCTGAGCAGAGAGCTGACATGGACAGAACGAGAGACGTCAAGACACTGACCAGCAGGCGACAGAGAGCAAGGCCAGCTGGGTGGTGGACACCACGGCCGGGTCCTGGAGGCTGGCTGCGGGGGGAGGGGCAGGGCCTGGGGAGAGACGTGGGCGCACCCCGGGGGCCACAGCGGCTCATTCCACGGCCACGGCACCTGGTCAGGCATGGACCTGGCACGCCACACCCCGATGCCGTCAGACGTTCCCCAGCAGGGCGTGGACACGACGGTCACCAGCTCCAGAAACCGAGAAGCTGTGAGGGCCGCAGTGAGAGGTGTCAAGACGCTGACATGGAAAAGTGAAAGTAAAGAAGCCATGCCAGAGCGTCTCTGATCACAGCGAATCAGAAAGCAGGGGCAGAAACATCTCCCGGAAATCCTCAGCTAAGTTGAGAAATAAAGCCACTTCGAAATAATGACTCGGTCAGAAAAGACATCGAAGGAAACATCACAAAGCGTTTTGCACTGAACCTGCCGGAAAGAAGACGTCAGGGGAAACAGCTCCCCACCAGAAACACGGAGGTTTCGGCTCAAGACCAGAAAGAAAAGAGCCACGGCACCCGACACAGACAGAGAGGAGGCAGCGAGGGAAGAATGACCACTGGAGAGAAGCCCAGGGACCCAGCAAGCGAAATGGCCGCAGCAACCGATCCACAGACCTGGGGAGGGTGCTGCGTCACAGGCTCCAATCCACGGAACCGGGGTAGAAGGCCGAGTCACAGGCGCCAAGAGGACCCGGGGAAGGATGCGGGTCACGGATGCCAAGGGACCAGGAAAGGAGGCTGGGTCACAGGCGCCAATCCACAGGCCTCAGGCAGAGGCAGCCCAGGGCCGGATTCCCCCACCCCCTCCCCGCCAAGTGCTCCTGCGCCCGCACAGGGGACACACCTTCGCGCACGTCCACCTGGCCCGCTCCGGCCAGTGCAGAGCGTGCGGCTCGGCACCGCCTTCCGGAGAGGACACGGCTGGGGGTCCGAGGCCACAAGCCCGGTCCGGGCCCGCGGACGCGCGGGTCCCGCATCGCCGGCCGCACACCTCGGCGCCACCCCCCGGAGCGTGGACAGAACGAGACACTGGTCAAGACACTGACCAGCAGGGTCGCCCGGGGTGCAGGGGTGACGCTGTGAGGGGCGCGGGGAGGCGCGGCCGGGGTCAGCCAGGGGCGCGGGCTGGGCCGTCCGCAGCGGGCGGGACGCGGGTCCAGGCCCGGTTCCCCTCCCGCCTGGCCTCGCACCCGGACCCCCACCCACCCCCCCGGCCCTGAGTCCCAGCGCACCCGTCGGCCCGTGCCTGCACGTGGCAGCTAACTCGGGGGCAGCAGCGCCCATGGCCGAAGGTCAGCGTCCGGCCTCGGACCCGCGCCCGCCAAGCCAGGGGCTCGATGCCCGCACCCGCGGAGCGCGGCTGGACAGAGCGCCTGGCCGGCGCGGCTCTGCGCAGGCGCGACAAGGCACGCTGGCCACGCCCCCAGCACTAGACCCTGCCCAGGTGCGTCCGACCGAGCCCAGACCACGCCCAGGCGCGTCCGACCGGGAGCCCAGGCCACGCCCAGACGCGTCAGATCCAGGCCACGCCTAGACGTGTCAGACCGGGGGCCTAAGCCACGCCCAGGTGTGTCGGCCGAGCGCCCAGGCCACGCCCAGGTGCTGCCAGCCACGGCCCCGGGCGCAGGCAGCTGGGGGTCCTGGGAGCGCCCGGCGGCGCCCCCCTGGCCGTGCCCTCCCCCTCCCCAGCGCCCAGGCCCGGGGCCTCACCGCGTCCCCCGGAGCCTGCAGTTCCTCCGGCCGCCGCCTTCGCCAGGGGCCCGGCGCCAGCGTGTCCATCGGCCGGGGCCAGCCGCCACGTGGCCGAGCGGGCCGCTGAGGGCCGGGGCGGTGGGGGGGACAGCCGAGACGAGAGTCCGCAGCGACGAGGAGGGACTGTCCGGCCGCCGCCTCGGACCACCACGGAGGCCGCGCCCCGAGCACCTGCCCGGCTCCCGCCGACGGCCCGGGACCTGGGGCGAGCGCCCGCCTCCTCCCGCTTCTGATTGGTCCGTGCGTTCTCCCGCGGTGATAGGTGGCTCAGGGGGCCAATGAGCGCAGGCGCGGCCAAGAGGTCTCTGGGAGTTGTAGTCCGGGTGTCCTTCCTCCTCCTCCGGGTGGGGCTGGGGGTTGCCTAAGGTCACAGGCGGCTTTGTTTCTCACTCTTTCTTTCTTTCTTTCTTTCTTTCTTTCTTTCTTTCTTTCTTTCTTTCTTTCTTTCTTTCTTTCTTTCTTTCTTTCTTTCTTTCTTTCTATGTAGGAGTATTGCTATTTATTCAGCCATTGATTAAAAGGCCCTAAAAGGCCCTCCCGTTGATCGTCGATTTGCTCGAGCGGGCCCAGTAACGTCTCCATTGGAGACTTTGTTGTTACTGTGTCTGGCATATCCAATACTCTCGGTAGCTTGCCAGGCTCTCCGAGAGGGGCGGAGGAATCGAACTCGGGTCGGCCATGTTGGCCGCTTGTAAGGCAAACGCCCTACCCGCTGTGCTATTGATTAGGCTGATTGAATTGGGCATGAACTCCACCTTACTTTTTATTTTTTTTTTATAATTTTATTTATTGAAACACCGTGAGAGCAGTTACAAAGCTTTCGGGTTTAAGTCTCGGTCATACAATGAAACACCCGTCCTTTCACCAGTGCCCATTTTCCACCACCAAAAACCCTAGGATACCCTCATCTCACATCCTCCCCCTACCTGTGGGGGAGGTGATTTCCACATTATTCTCTCTCTACTTTGATTACATTCAATATTTTGACACCAGATCCACCATTATTACTTGGGATTTTACCCCAACACTCAGATCTGCTGAAAAGGCACTGTCAACCGTCACTGTCCTCCCGTTGTTCATCGATTTGATTGAGCGGGCCCAGTAGTGTCTCCACTGTGACAATTGTTACTGTGTTTGGCATATCGAATACATCACAGGTAGCTTGCCAGGCTTTGCTGTGAGGGCGAGATACTCCGTAGCTTGCTGGGCTCTCCGAGAGGGGCGGAGGAATCGAACTCGGGTCGGCCATGTTGGCTGCTTGCAAGGCAAAAGCCCTACCCGCTGTGCTATGACTCCAGTCCATTTTTTTTCTATTGCTGGTTATGAATAATATATGATGTCACTAAGCCGCAGTAGTGGCCGCGCGATTTTGGAATTCTGAAATTTTAACAATTAAATCTGGAGGTTTTCTGCCAAAACCTGCTGGGTTCCGAGATTTGTTCCTGAGTCTCTTGGATCATGGCCATTAAGCAGCTTGATCAGGATCCAGAAAGGCCATTCATGGGCGGCAACTCGGGGTCTCATTGGGGTGGGGAGGAAAGGGCTGGCCTCCCCCCCATCTTGAGAGGCCCTGTGTGTCTCATCACTGCAGGCCCAATCCTGACCTTCCAATGGCCTCTGGAGGATGGCGGCCATCGAGGCACCAAGGGGAAGCAGGCAGAGGAACAGCACCCTTTCCCCCTGGGGTGGCCCGGTGCCCGTAACCTACTGCGGGGGATGGAACGCATTTCTGCCTAAAGCCGCTGAGTTCTGAGATTTGTTTCTGGTCTCTTGGATCACGGCCATTAAGCAGCTTGATCAGGAGCCAGAGAGGCCGTTCATGGGCAGCGACTCAGGGTCTTGTTGGGACAGGGAGGAAAGGGCCAGCTCCACCCCCATCCCATGAGGCCCCGTGTGTCTCGTCACTGCAGGCCCAAACCTGACTGTCCAATGGCCTCTGGCGGGTGGCAGGCACTGAGCCCCCAAGGGGGAGCAGGCAGAGGGACAGCACCCTTTCCCCTCTGGGGTGGCTCGGCGACAGTAACCTACTGCAGGGTTCGGACGCATTTCTGCCAAAAGCTGCTGGGTTTTGAGATTTGTTTCTGGGTCTCTGGGATCATGGTTGTTAAGCAGCTTGATCAGGAGCCAGAGAGGCCGTGCGTGGGTGGCGACTCGGTGTCTTGTTGGGGTGGGGAGGAAAGGGCCAGCTTCACCCCCATCCCGTGAGGTCCCACATGTCTCGTCACTGCGGGCCCAAACCTGACTGTCCAGTGGCCTCTGGAGGATGGCGGCCACTGAGCCACCAGGGGGAGCTTGCCAAGGCACAAAACCTATTCCCACCTGGGGTGGCCTGGCACTGGCAACCTACTGCGGGGACTGGACGCATTTCGGCCAAAAGCCACTGGGTTCCGAGATTTGTTTCTGAGTCTCTGGGCACACCCACTTTATTTAAACACTGCGGTTTACAAAGTTCTTCATGATGCTTTGTTACAGGCGTTCAATATTCCGACCCCAGTCTCCACCACCACAGTCACCTTCCCTCCACTATTGTCACCATTACCCAGCCACTCCTCAGCCTGCCCCATAGCAGGTCCACAGTCACTGTCACTGTCCTCCCGTTGTTCATCAATTTGCTCGAGCGGGCCCAGTAACGTCTCCATTGGAGACTTTGTTGTTACTGTGCCTGGCATATCAAATACGTCACGGGGAGCTTGCCAGGCTCTGCCGTGCAGGCGAGATCTTCTCGGTAGCTTGCCGGGCTTCTCCGAGAGGGACGGAGGAATCGAACTCGGGTCGGCCATGTTGACTGCGTGCAAGGCAAACGCCCTACCTGCTATGCTATCGTTCCAGCCCGGCAGGTCCACAGTACCTTGGTTTATATTGCTTGTTGCTGCTCAGTCGCCAACAGAAATATTTCCTTAGAAGAAAATTAGTGAAAATGGTTGTATCTCACCTCGGAGACATTAAGTCTTGTCTGAGGGATCACTAAAATGTTGTTACAAGTAAATTCTTCCCTGATGGGTCGGCTTCTAAGGGACATCCCATCCAGTCTGGTGTGTCAGTACTGAATTGTCCGCTTTGTAGAGTTTGGAAATGCTGTCTGGCCACAAATGTGACCAAGTGCGCCAGGAAATCCAGAATTTCTGACTGGGAGGCACAGTTGGAGTTAGACTTTTTAACTGGGTGGCAGCTTTGGGGCGTACACTTGACTGCCGGGGCTTCCAGAAGTACAGGCAAATGGGGGGAGATAGCCTGTCTGACTCCGCAAAATCCTGGAGATTGGGACTGGAGCGATCGCACAGCAGGTAGGGCTTTTGCCTTGCATGCAACTGACCCGGGTTCGATCCCTGGCATCCCATATGGTCCCTAAGCACTGTCAGGAGTGATCCCTGAGCACAGAGCCAGGAGTAACCCCTGAACATTGCTGAGTGTGATCCAAAAAGCAAAATAATCATAATCATAATAAAAAAACATTTTTTTAAAAGCCTGGAGATTTCAGTCACAGGGACCCATGTCCCACCTGAGTTTTCAGCAGGTGACGCCTCTATGGGGCTCAGTCCCAAAACGCTGGGTCCAGTCACTGGTGCTTTGGTTGAACACCCACTTGCCCCCTCTGGAATGCCCTGGATGTCTCAGCCAAGCACAGGTAGCGGAGAAATCTTCGCTTGCAGCCTGACTTTAGACCTCAGGCTGGGGGTGTGCAGATGGAAAACTGAGACCCAGAGAAATGTGGGCGGGACCTGGACTCAGTCCCCAGTTTCATAAGGACCCTGAGCACCACTACAAGAACAACCGTGGGCAAAACAGGAGGGAAGGTCCAGAGGCATACGGTGGGGATGGGATTTGCCTGCACACAGGTGGCCGCGTCAGTTCTTAGCTCTGCTTATGGTCTCCCAAGCGCCGCCACCGGGATCCCTGAGCACCACCAGCTTTGGAGAGAGAGAGAGACAGAGAGAGAGAGAGAGAGAGAGAGAGAGAGAGAGAGAGGGAAAGAAAAGAGTAGAAAAGTGATTGTCCTGGGAAAGGCAGGTGGCGTCTCCCGGGCGCGAGGGGCGCTGGCTGCTGGTCTCCTTCCCGGCTGTGCACTGACCACGAGGCTCGTCCACTGTGAAAGCTCCAAGCAAAGTCCTTGTGTTCATGGTCTGGTCAAGAAGTTGACCGACACAGGGGACGTGAGGAGGGTCTTCGTCAGCTCAATCATGGCTAAACCCGAAAGGTGGGAAAGCTCATGGGGAGATCGTGCTTTGAGCACCAATTAGAGCAAAAATATCCTTTTTTTAAAGTTTAATGTGAGTTTATTTATTTTTTAAATTTTTATTAGTGAGACACCATGAGGTACAGTTGTAGACTTACAAATTTTTGTGCTTGGGTTTCAGTTATACAATGATCAAGTACCCATCCCTCCACTGGTGCCCATTTTCCACCACCACGGATCCCAGTATCCCTCCCACCCCCCATCCCCCCCATCCCACCCTGCCTCTGTGGCAGGGCATTCCCTTTTGTTCTCTCTCTCCTGAGCAAAATCATCTTTATGTTCTTTTTGTTTTAAATCAGTATCTACAACTCAACAGCAGAAAAGCAGAACGCCCTGATGCCCCACGCCCCAGCCCGAGGTCTAAAGTCAGATGACCCGAACGCTGACATACGGCCCAGGACTTGCCCTGGAGCCTGAGATGAGTCTCTGCTGTGTCCAGTGTCCAGCAGGGCTGGGGCCGCAGTGAGGGCTTGGGTGGGTCTGAGTGTGTCAGCGCCTAGCACAGATGGGTCGGGCAGGTGAGTCTGGGGTCCTGGTATCCAGGGAGGGCTGGGGCAAGGGTCCGGGTGTGCTGTCGGCAGCGCCCGGGACAGGCCTAAGGAGACAGGAGGTGGCAGCCCTGCTGAGCTGCCACGTGGGGTCTACACGGGTGAGGCTGGCAGGGGCCACAGCCCAGTGCCAGCCTGGGGTTCCCGGTCCTCCCGGACACAGTCCTCACTGTGGCCACGCAGCGGAGGTGGGGGCCGGGGGGTCGAAAATGTCCTGAGGGTCTCCAGATGCCTTCACGACTCACTGCAGAAGTCTGCTTCTTACCCTGCATGTCCCTCTACACCGGGGGTCGCATGAAAATTTCTCAGGTGCAACCGAGCCACAGGAAGGAGGCAAAGTTCAAGAGGCCCTGGGCAAGGGGTCGGGCATGCCAGGTCTGATGGCTCGTGTTTCTGAGGACTTCCTTCTAGCTCAGGCTTGCTTTCTGTTATCGATGGTTGTCAGGCACAAG